GCAAAAAGGCCATATTTGACATACACGAGCACACCTCCACCTTGACGTCCCAACCTGTCCTTTCTGAACAAGTGATAACCAGATAAAGCGACTTCGCGATCGTCTACGCTCGCGGACAGCCACGTTTCAGTTATGGATATAACATCGGGTAAGGTTTGGTCAACGTAGATTTTAAGCTCATCTAATTTAGATAGCAGACTTTGCGCATTGGAATACAAGCATTTTAGCTTTTTTTCCTTTGATAAGCCGGCTATGACGCCGCCTTTGCCAATTGTCTCGGCTGTGGCGACATACGCACGGGCCGTGTCCATATGAAGCGGGACGGTCGCTCGATAATGCAGTTGTTGTAGATAACCAGGCCTTGTTCGCCATTCGTTTGTCGCAGCCTTAGCTCCTGAACTAACTGTCGGCGTTTTATCCGCTCCGGTGGTGTGTAATCCGGCTGAAAAAAAACTCCTTGGTGGGAATATTTTAACCTAAAACGTCTTGAGAGGATGAGATCAACATGCTCTTTGCAACTCAGAACAATTTTAAGGGGCCTAGGATGCGGTGGAATAGCGGGTTCAGTAGAGCGCTTTCCGAGTCTAAAGGCTTTCAACACGGAAATTTCTTCATCGGGTTGAAGCAGTGTGTTTAGAAGACCTTGGAACAAGCCGAGATCAGCTAATACGCGTTCTTTAGGTGTATCTGCTTGAGGCTCCTGAAGTCCCTGTATTACTAGGCACTGTTCTCGGAGCGGCCGGTCTTGGTTGCGTGATGTTGGTGACCTGGGAGTTCCTGGCGAACCATTCATGATGACATTCTGGTTGCCATCCACTCCAGGGATCTCTTCTGCAGCTAATGGTTTCGTGTTTGGGGCAATACTGCTCCTGTCTTTTATGTCAATACAGAGAATATTCGCATTTGCCGCGTCTGTGTCTACGCTGGCGCTGGAGGTTTCTGTCGATTGCTCAGACGAGCTCTGCTTTTCCACCCCAGGAAGTTCCTTTCTTCGGGTACTCCGAAATCGTCCGATTTCCGTCTCTCTCTTCTCAGTCATCGGTCCCCTTTGATTTAACTGCTTCTTTTGATGTGACCTCAGTTGCATGTGAACGGTCTGAGTCTTATTATTAATTCCTTGGTTCTCCTCGGTCACATTGCGGGGGGCAGTGAGCGTCTGCTTTCTGCTCTTCTGCGGTGGATTAATATCATGCCTTGCCATATTCTCCGCGATGTCCTCTGAGGTTTCCGTCCACGCAGTAGTCTTTTCTATGTCGAATCCTTTTACCTTCTTCTGTGGTGGAGATCGGACAGCTTCTACTCTGCCAGTAGATGGCCGAGGGGTCTAGGCGTTCGCCTCGTGAGACGATGGTCGGAGGTTCGACTCCCGCTTCCCACGCCCTTTTTTCATCCCGCGGGACTGATGGATCGTACACTTCTACATTTCCCATGTCTCAATGCGCCAAAGTCAAGGATACAACAACGGCCGAAAGGTTGGCAGCAGAAGACAGACACAATCAAAAGAAGGCCTAAGGCTTTCAGATGCCAGGGAAGCTTTAGGCAACGGAAATCTAAGCGAATGCTCCGAGACTTCAGACAACAGAAACCTAGTCGAATTTAACGGCACTACAGTTAACAGAAATTTAAGCTAATGCTTTGAAGCAAAGGTACAGCTAAAGTCTAATTTCGAAGTGAGACTCAGCCTTTGTTCTGGGCGTTTCGTTTGCTGAAAGATTGGTCTTTTTAGGCTCGTATACGAGCATATATGCAGAACTGGTAGAGTCGAAGTCCACGTTCTGCAAAGGTGGTGTCGTAAATTGATGACGATGCGAATATTGCTGTCTGTGAATCAATTTTCTAAAATCCGTTTGACTGCAGGAGCATCCAGAGTGCGGAAATCTCGAAGAATATTAACCCCTCGGAGGACGAAAATTTGAAACCAAATTCGAAACGCCAACTGATCTAGGAAGCTCATGAGCGTGGTGTTAAAGGAATGCTGCAAATTTCTTCCACGGTTCGGCAGCACTGTGTTAAAGCACTTTAAGAACAGGTTTGATTATATTATCTTTGCCAGCAGCCAAATAAATTGCATGTGCATTTAATTTTTAAATAAAGGATCGAATGAAAAAGCGACATTCTGAGTCGTTTGGTCCGCAGATTCAGAATTCAGTC